CATTCCAGAAAATTCTATTTTTAGAAGACATTGTAGACACACTGGATTCCTCTGTCTGTCTTTCTGGGCCCTTCTATACAGTCCTCCTTCTTATAATGCTTTTCACAGGGTGACTGGAGTTCTCAAGAAGCATCAGTTTATTTCACGTGAAGAGTCAGACTGATTTAGATGTGATTGGTCTTCCAAGAGCTCTTATATTAGACTTCTGGTCCCAGTGAGGTGATGCTGAACATGGGCCTTAATGAACACAATTAGGATGTTTTGACATTGCCTTCATGAAACATTTGTGTAGTTCTCACATGATCTGCTAGTCCTCTCAAAAATTAGTTGCTATATAAGACATAAACTACCCCCTCCATGCCGTGGACATTCTAGCTTGCCCATTTACTCTCCTCTTTGCATATGCTTCTACCATGATGACTTTCATCATGTAATGACAACTCAAGAGATCATTCCAGAGCCAGCAATACATTATTTGGAATGCCAGCCTCAAAAATATAAGCTAAGTAAATCTCTTTTCCTAACAACAACAACAACCACAACAAAAATCCAACTTCTGGGATTTTTTTCCAGCAACACTAAATTGACTGATACATTAAATAGGCTTGATTTGACCAGATATTCATTCAGCCTCACAAAGTTATAACCCTTGGACAAAGAACAGCAGTTTTAGACCCTGGTAGAGCATTGGAAGAACTCAGACTGCATCCAGGACCGGATCCCAAAACTCGGTGGTAAGATTCAGCAACTGTGCCTTTAAAAAGGATGGATGTGCAAGTGTGGTTGTTAAGCAATGAAGTTGACAATTCAGCTACACAAGTATCGTGTGTAAAGTTTAGTAAACCTTGTTTTTCTTTATCTTGCTTCACAGGTTACATCACACTGATGATAAGAATTACAGAACAGAATCTATAAAGACTTTCCATTCATTTACTCTTCTTCAAACGTCAATTTGTACAGGCCCTAATTGCCTAAAATAAACCACTTAAAATATATAAAATAGATATATCTTTGAGACCATATCACCCCTATTACCAAATTTCCATATAGTCCATGGGTGAAACCTTATATAAACATCCTGGCTTTGGTTCATAATTATGAAATCCACAGGGTCACATTGGCGATGAATGAATCCACAACATCCATGGCCACGAACATCTGGTGTGCAATTTCACATAAACACATTTGACTTTGATGAAACTGAAACTATGAAATTTAAACAAAATGGTGTTAGGGTTGAATCCCAAAAGGGAAAGAAAGGAACTTGGGTTTCTGTTTTTCCTTTTTTGAAACCCAGGTGCACATTAAAGTTAATGGCAGGACACACACTTGTGTCATTTGGCTTTAGTGCACATTTTCCTCTCTAATGGCATCAAACAGGCTACATCAAAATAACCACAGGTCTCACGCAGAGATGGGTAAACTCCAAACTTCCAGCTGAAGGAAAAGGAAGGAAGTGGTCTGGGTAGGGGGGGCTCGTCATATGCCCCATTCTAGCTGAACCTTCAACTTGATGTCAGTGGAAATCCTCAAGGGCAGCATTGTCTTCTCCTTCAGATTGAATTACTTAGTTAATCATTTTGGGAACCTCATTCACAGAGATAGCTATCTCAGATGCTGTAGGGAACCAGAGGCCAACAATTTCTTTCATCTTTTTTTTTTCTTATAGAATAGCTTTTTTTAATTAAAAAAAAAAGATGGGTGTGTATGTCTCTTTGGGATGCATTAGTGTATAGTATTCAAGGATGAAATAGGAGGTTCTTTGAAATACATTTTTTTTCTGAAAGGATGTATCCTCAATTATAAAATCTTCAAAAGTGAATGAATCACATCTGAGATGGGATTTTCATGATTTATGCTTTAAGCGATTTTAAACTCTGAGTAGGAACTAGAGAAGAGCTTTGTTACGTAAAGGCATGCACTGCTCTTGTTGGGGACTGGAGTTCATTTCCCAGCATCCTTATCTGGTGATTAAGAACTGGCTGTAACTCCAGTTCTAGGGAATGCAATGCCTCTGAATTCCGAAGGAACCTATATGCAGGTACTCACTCACATATCCTTACAGGAACACATATGCACATAATTAAATGCAAAACAAGTGATAAAACCCAAAACTAAAACACTTAGCAAACGAGGTGAAAGGCAACTAAAACAGTGACTAAATCATTAGAGTGGTACCTCCTCTTTTGCCATGGTACCAGGGGTAACACCTAGAGCCTTTTTCAGGCAAGGCAGGCAACTTACTGCTGACCTTCATCTCTAGTCCTTGGGTGTTTGAGATTCACTTTGTAGCATGGGCCACCTTGGGGCCCCAGGATTCTTGCTTGTTCACTTCCTGTAGGCTGTAGTTTGAGGACCATGCTTTCTTGCCCACTTGGAATTATATCTTTAATTAATATTCTAACTCATCTTTTTGAACCCTGAAAAATCCTACAGGGTAATCCTATTTTCCATCTAATTTTAAACCCGGTATTCTACAGGGTCATGATATAATTCTTCCTGAACTTCAAACCACAGTAAAGTCTGTCTCAGTATTGAGAGGACCACTGGTTTTTCTGCAGACTATAAACTATCATTTCTTCCCATGACCCTCTGAGGCAAAAAGTGCACAGTCACTTTGAGTTCAGTTGTCACACTTCTTTGTTTCCTATTCCTCCTTCCTTTGCTTTCCTTTCCCACTCGGGTACAATGGGAACTTATCTAAGAAGCAGTTCTTGCTTCCCTAGAGCAGTGTTGAGCTTATTGTGGTGTTAGGGACTAGTCCCAGGGTTTCCTGCATACAGGGCAAGTACATTGCCTCTGAGCAACATCTCCAACCACATCTCACTGTCCAAAATGTATTCTAGGGTAGTAGGTAATTCTACTGCTTGCTTACCATGGATTTTCTTCTTCTTTCAAGTCACAAGGGAGAGTGTGACAGTTCTTGTGATTTATGCAATATCATAGTTAGCTGTGGGTCAGTAAAGAAACGTTGCTATTTCATGCAAGAGTTGGGTTCTGGAGACATTAAATTTTATTAATCAGAGCTACATACAATATTGATTTAAAGATTTTTTTTAAAAAAAGTTTCACACCCTCCTGAGGCATTCATCAGGAGCTTTAGGAAGGAAGGGAGTTCTATTGCCCATCTTTGGCAAATACCAGATGGGAGTATGTCACTAAAGCCTGGAGTTGTTGATTTAACAGTCTACAACCTGTCCTTACTGAGAGCATCCTTATTCTTGTCTGTCTTTGTCCCGCGCTACCGTCTTGACAGCAAGAACGACACGGCACACTTAGGATCCTTCTGCAGAAAAGCTTTAATGCGTCTTGAGAGAGAGAGCATAAGCTTACAAAGCGGAGACCCAGAATGAGGGGAACCCATCCCTTATATAGGAAACAGTCCTCGCTTCGGACGTGTCACTCTTGGATTGGTCCGCTGCCCATCAACCCAGATGACGCCTCGGGAGTAGGCAGGGACGCAGCAGTGGAAAGTTACCAGGCACATGCGCATTATCTTGTTCACCAGGTGGTGAGGCCGGATGCCAGCGCCATCTTGTAATGGAGTATGTGGTTGCGGCCCTCCACATGTCTTAAGGACTGATGTGTAGATACTCCGTGATTAAGAAAGCTGCAGAATCCTATGTCTATAGTCTGCCCTACCCCACCTCCGAACGTTGTTGACCCATTGTTGTCAATAAACTAAAAACGTATGGAATAAATGAATGAAGATTTTACCTATGTGGACAAAAAAATACAACTTGAAGAGCATTGTTGCCAGAATAGAGGTCAGAACAAAATGTCTGAGCAGTGCTGCATAATGGTAACTGTATACACATGGCCAATTTACCAGTGCATTGCCTTTATCTGAATTAGTTTTATATACTCTCTAATCTTTGATACTCTCTGATTTTATGTGATATGAAAAATTGAATATTATTAAAATCATTTTGCAAATCAAATACTTGAGGCACAGAAAGGTGGAGAAATGCTCAAGTTCAAATAACTGAAGGATTGGAATTTAGTCTTCTATTCATTTCCCTCTTAATTATTACATGGGAATTTGGGGAAAGTGAAGATGAAAAAAACAGTGAGATGAATGTGCTGGGAGAGTGAAGGTCAAGGTAATATTTAAAATGTGATAAACATAATCATAGAGAGACAGCTTTATACTGTCAAGTGAAGTGTGTGTTGGTAATGGGTACAATGGGCAATGTAATTAGTTGAAATGGATAAGCGTGTTTCAGGTGTCTTTTAGAAAAGCAGGCTTAGAGGAAGCATTACAGATATGGCTCTGTCTGTGAACAAGTGGCTCGTGACAAAGGTCACGACTGATCTCTGATAACGCAGGCATTTATGAAGGAACAGTGCAGGCAGCTGCAGTTAACAGTCCACGCAGAAGCAACACACTTCTGATCAGAAACTTTTGTGGGTTCCACGTGAAGGGATGTCCTTTTTCGAAGAGAACAGTTCTTTTAACTATCTTTTCTCACACCCCCTTTTTTTTTTAAATTTCCTTCTTCAGAACCCTCCCTCCCGCCAATGGGATCACTACTCTTACCTGTGATGAGCCACTAGTAAATAAAATGTGTCAGGAGGATGCGAAACACGATGTGGGTCACTTTTTGCCTGCCCCTTACAACCATTTGCACACTTGCCAGAGCTGTGAACCTAGGGATTATGAACTCATGGGCGGGAAGATTCTAGTTGAGAAAAGAAACATACTACACCAGGCCTACCTTGACTAGATTGAGAATATCACTTATAATGACTTCACTTTGCTATTAACGCTTTATCAATGCATGTCAGCCTCAAGACATCTAGAATATAACGTACTTTCTTCATGTAAGTCTTCTGACCCAAGAAATGTGCCCCTCAAAACTGTGTCGTGGTTTCGTGTAAAGGTCCCCTGTTCAGCTAAGTGGAGAAATAATGTTACAAGTTTCTAGAACAAATATTGTTCAATCCTACTTCTCAATGTAAGTTCTACATATACCCTTTGATTCTTAAAAACCATTGAAGTGCTTGCTTTGGCAGCACTTATACAAAAATCGGAATGATACAGAGAAGATTAGCGTGGCCCTTGCATAAGAATGACACGCAAATAACAAATAGAGTCTTCAATATTTAATAAAACAAAAACAAAAAGAAAACACTGAAAATACAAAAATCTGCATAGACACATTTCACTTATATAATAACTTTTAAAAATTGCTAATGTATTTCAGAACAAAAATAGGAATAAGGTGAAATTCATTGATCTACATTTGGACAAGTATATTTATGATTTGGATTAGTAAAAAGTGGGCCTGTATAGGTCTGTTGTGATAAGCAATGTTTTCTTTAAATATGTGAAAAAATTTTAACTTCACACTGATTTTAAGATGGAGCAAGCACCTTGGAAACCCTTTAAATTGATCCCAGAGCTTCATGGAGGATGCTTTGAGAATAAATAGGAGTGTGTTTATATGTACAACATTCAAGGGTCTCATAGTTTGAGTTTTGTAGTATTTTTAGATACTATACTTGAAACTCATGGAACCATGCGTAAACTAAATATTAAATCTTTGAGGTTTTATTGATTTTATTGAGTTATACCTTTTTCTTTGCTTCCTTTTTCCATTCCCCCTGTCTTCAATCCTCTTCTGTGGTCCTCATACTCCCAATTTACTCAGGAGATCTTGTCTCTTTTTACTTCCCATGGGTCCTCATTGCTATCTAGGTTCTCTGGAATTGTGATTTGTGGGCTGGTTTTCTTTGTTTTATGTCTAAAAATCACTTATGAGTGAGTACATATGGAATTTGTCTTTCTGGGTCTGGGTTAAAACTCAATATGATGTTTTATAGATCCAACCATTTGCTTGCAATTTTCATGATGTTTTTGTTTTTTTCTGCTGTATAGTACTCCATTGTGTAAATGTACCATATTTTTCTTATCCATTCTTCAGTCAAGGGGTATTTAGGTTGTTTCCAGGTTCTGGCTATGACAAACAATCCTGCTATGAACATAGTTGAGCACTTGTCCTTGTGATAAGATTGAGCATCCTTTGGATATATATCCAAAAGTGGTATTACTAGGTCTTGATTAAGGTCGTTTCCTAATTTTCTGAGAAATTGCCACACTAACATCCAAAGGGATTGGACCAGCTTGTATTCCCACCAGCAATGCAGAAGTGTTCCCTTTTCCCCACAACCTCTCCAGCATAAGTTGTCATCACTGTTTTTGTTCTTGGCCATTTTTATAGGTTTAAGATGGAATCTCAGAGTTGTTTTGATTTGCATTTCTCTGATGAGTAAGGATGTTGAGAATTTCCTTAAGTGCTTTTCAGGCATTTTAGATTTCTCTGTTGAGATTTCTCTGTTTAGGTCTGTACCCCAATTTTTATTGAATTATTTACAAGACAAAACGGCAACCTACAGAATGGAAAAAGATCTTCATCAACCCCACATCAGACATAGGGCTGATTTCCAAAATATACAAAGAACTCAAGAAATTGATTATCAAAAGAACAAATATCTTTAAGTTTTCAGTGTTGACATATAGCCAGGACATTCAGTATGAGTTCATTAGAACCTGAAGAAACTACACAAAGAAGAAATTTAATTGAATATTAAAGATTGGGTAACACTGTTAGGCCAAGAATTTGGAGACTTTCAGTAAGGAAGAAAACATGAAAAGGTGAAATTTTTAGCACGTCAAAGGGTAGAAAAAGTGTATACCTTTTACTGACAACTTGTTATTTCATGGTTCACCCTCATTTCTGCCACCCAAGCATTCAACTGGGCAATCATTCTAGTATTTTTGTAGTATTAGCTATGTAAAAACCTAGTCCTTTCTGTCTGGCACAGTGATCTGAATGTCTCCCCCCATCCTGATGCTTAAGGAGGTCGAAACCTGTGATACAGTGAACAAGCAGTGATTGGGGTGGTTTCTGTTTCTTGGGTCGCTAGCTCTGCAAGCTTGCAGAATTACAAAATGGTAAAGCAATACTAAATGAAGCTCTCCTATTCCATCTCAATTACCAGGTCCTAATCTGGCCCTCAATCTCTTACTGTCTCCCAAGCTCTTCCAATGAAAGTTTCCCATCATAGCTATTTCTAAAATATGTAAGCTTCAAACATTTTGTTAAAAAATTCAAGTCAACACATTGAATCTAGAGGAGAGATAAGTCCACAGAGATAAATGGGCATTTATGTTCACTGTACCATTGTTCGCAACACCCAAATTGTAGAGTCAGACAAGGTACCCAACAACAGACAAATTAGGAATATTTGAGATGTGTGTGTGTGTGTATGTGTGTGTGTATGTGTGTGTGTATCTGTGTGTGTGTTTGTGTGTGTGGTGTGTACCATTTATATGATTTATGTTGAAGGAGATATGTCACTGGGGATGGGTTTCAAAAGCCATGTCATTCCCCATTAGCTTTTTCTTTCTTTTTTTTTTTAACCTATTGATCAGGGATCATATGTAAGTTCTCAGCTACTTTCCCAGAACCATGCCTAACTATCTGTTGCCATGCTCCCTTCCATGATACTATTTGATCAACTCTCTGGAACCATGAACCTTAAATTAAATACTTTCTTTTACAAGTTAGTATGGTCACAATGTTTAGTCATGGCAAGAAAAATGTAGCTGAAACAAGATGCAACTGTTTCTAGTCATTTTAAGGAAAATATAATAAACTCAATAAAACAAATATTGCATACTTTTTCTCATTTTTGGATCATATATTTATTTAGATACATAAAACCATACACATGCATGTACACATATGTTTGTACATGCGTGTGTGTTTGTGTCAGACTTGAAAACTGAAGGGATACTTGGAGAAAGAGGACTAGAGGAGCCAGAAGGACTAGGGGTCTGAAGGGAAAGGCATATGGAGATGAATGCAGTCAAATTACATGAAATTGTTAAATAAATTCCCTGTCTTTACATAATTCAAAACTATATAGAGTGTCTATACATCACTGAAAAGCAGAGAAAAACAAAAATAAATAAACAAACTTAGTATTCTCTTTCTGACTAGAATAGCAATATAGAAATACCAATTATCCTTCATTTTTTTAATAATTTCAATAGAATTACACCATTTCCTTCATCCTTTTCCTCCCTCTAGTTCCTTCCAGTAATTTTCTCTCAAACTACTCCAATACACTCCTCAATTTTATAATCTTTTTTTATTTTGTCATATTTGTTGCATAAATATATATGTATATCTTTGTTTATGAATATTCACATCCTTCTGAGTCAATTTTTTATTGTTTGTGTATATATAACTTCAAAGCTGACTACTCTTCATTGGACATCCCAAAAGGGCAGCTCATCTCTGAGAGAAGCCATTCTTTTCCCAGTAGTCACTAGTTGCCTGTTGTTCTTTGCCCCCCCGCCTGCCCCCCTCCTCACTACTACCCCCAGTAGAGCTCCCAACCACTCCCCCAAACAGGTAAGCGCTCCCTCTGATGAGGAGTCAACAAAGTCTGACATTAAGTTGGGATAGGCACAAGCCCTTCCCCCTTGCATTAAGGCTGAGCATGGCAACCCCACCACTGGGAATGGGCTATTGTTACTCCCCCAACTAATTACCCACATCTATCATTCCTTTATACTTTCCCACTCTGTGTTGTTTACTCGCATCTGAGGATTTGGAGCTAAAAGCTTCTAATGAGAGAAAACAGGAGGTGTTCAGTCTTGGGCATATACCCAAAGAACGCTCAGTCATACCAAAAGGACATTTGCTCAACTATGTTCATAGTAGTGATAGTCATAATAACCAGAACTTGGAAATAACCTAGATGCCCTTCAACTGAAGAATAGATTTAGAAAATGCAGTACATCTGTTTTTTTGTTTGTTTGAGACAAGGTTTCTCTGTAGCTTTGGTACCTGTCCTGGAACCAGCTCTTGTAGACCAGACTGGCCTCAAAACTCACAGAGATCTGCCTGCCTCTGTCTCCCAAGTGCTGAGTGAGATTAAAGGTGTGTGCTACCAGCACCCAGTGTATGTCTGAAAAAAAAATGACATCATGAAATTTGAAGACAAATGAATGAAACTAGAAAAAGAATCATCCTAACTGAGGTAACCCTGGCCAAGAAAGACAAATATGATATGTACTCATTCATGCATAAATATTAGCTATAAAGTTAAGGATAATCAGACTATAATCTACAAGCCCAGATAGTCTAGAAAATAAGGAGGGCCCAAAGTGGGACACATGGATTTCTCTGGGAAGGGGAAATAGAAGAGGTCTCCTGTGTAAACTAGGGGAATGGGTGTATGGGTCGATGGGAACATGAGGGATCAGGTTGGGCAGGTTAGGGATGAGATGGAGGGAAAGAGGAAGGAAAGTGACATCTTGATAGAGGGGATCATTATGGAGCTAGGGAGAAACCTGGTGCCAGGGAAACTCCCAGGCATCCACAAGGATGACCCCAGCTAAGACCCCTAGCAATAGTGGAGAGGGTGCCTGAACTGGCCTTCTTCTGTAATCTAATTGGTGACTACTCTAATTGTCACCAGAGAGCCTTTATCCAATGGCTGGTGGAAACAAACCCAGAGATCCCCAGTTAAGCACTGTGCTTAACTCCAGGAATCTTGTTAAAGAGAGGGAGGAAGGATTGTACAGTCAGAGGGTCAAAGTCATCTCAAGAGAACCCACAGAAACAACTACCAGAGGCTCATAGACAATAGACCAACAACCAAGAAGCTTGCATGGGACCGACCTAGGCCCTCTACATATATGTGACAGCTGTGTAGCTATGTCTATTTGTGAAACTCCTCACAGTGGGAGCAGGAATTGTCCCTCATGCTTGAGTTTGCTTTCAGGAACCTGTTGTCTATACTTGCTTGCCTTACCCAGCCTTAATACAAATGGAGGAGCTCAGTTCTACCTCTATTTGATATGCTGCCATGCCTTGAGTATACTCATGGGGGTGGGGGTGCTGTCACCTTCTGAACAGCGACAGATGTAGAATGAAGGGGGCCTGCTTGTTGGGGTATCTGTCCCGCCCAGTACCCCACAGCCGGCAAACCCCAATAAAAATCACACACAGGACTCCATATAATTATAAACTGATTGGCCCATTAGCTCAGGCTTCTTGCTAACTCTTATATCTTATATTAACCCATT